GTGAACAGACACGGAAAGATGTGCTCCACTTCCTGGAAAGCAAGATGGTTAAGAGCAGGGCACAGAGTCACAGCAACCTGGGTGTGAACTGGCTGCTAGCTGACTGTGTGCCTTAGCCTTACTTCCTTACCTTTACCTTGGGAGTAATAGCAGTACTACTGCTGGGGTTTGTTGGGGATGCATGAGCGAATGCCATTAAAAAGCTTGGTACAATGTTTGGGCTAGAGTGTGCCCCGATTTATCTATCACAAGGAACTAAAACCAGCATAACGTATAGCTAGATGTAGACATCAGAGCCAACCCAAACCAACACAGAAATTGCAGACCAGCAGGATGAATGGGCTTGCTGCCTCTGACCTGCAGATGTGACTCTGAGCTTCCTTATGGCCACATCAAAAAGGGAAACGTGATCCTTTGTAGAACTTCGTTTATTAAGATTGAGGAAGCAGCCTAGTTCCTCAGAGGAAATAATGTTTTTTTCTTACCTTGAATTCTCCAGGGCATTTCTCACTGGACAGGGAACTTCATAAGCGGCACCTTGAGAGAGGCAGTGGGTAGCATCACTGTCCAGGACTAATACAGCATCACAGATGTGATTTCCCAGTGGTAGCTGCTTGTAGGGACCTTGAAGGCAAGGCAAAGGGAAACCAGGGAAGGCAGCTCCATAGGAGGATCAAGAATGTGATGAAGGTCTGGGCTCTCAGCATTCAAAGCTAAGGCTTAGAGAGCTCAGAGAGGTGGGATTGGGACTCCTAATCTCTCAGGGAAGCAGGGGGAACCCAAGAGACTTTTCACTTGGGATCCTTGGAAGTCAGGCTCTGGAGTCAGATTTCCCAGCTGTGTGGCTTCGGGCAAGTTGCTTCACCTCTCTGAACCTCAGTTTTCTTACCTGCAAGCTAATGTATCCTTGTAAGGCTATTGCAGAGCACAATAGCATATAGGGAGTGCTCAAATAAATGTTAGCCATACACATATTATGTATACAATGTTAGTATACACATATTATGTATGTATACTTATATTTATACCCTTTTTTCCTAAGCTTCCTGGTTACAGAGGGTTTAAGGAATCTGAACAATGAGAATTTTACAGCTCTTTACAATTGGCAAAGGAGTCATTGTCATTTCTTATGACCCTTCCAACAGCAATGAGGGAAGGGTTCTTACCCCTCTGGAGAGGTGAGGAGACTGGAGCTTAGAGAAGCAAATTCTTGCCTGTATCGCCCTTGACCTGCCCTTGAACCCAGAGCTGGGGAGACAAGCGGGCAAGATGCACAGGTCCTCTGGCCTTCCTGGCCCCTCCCGTTATTTTAGAATGGCAAAGGCCGTTTTAGAAGGGAGTTAAGAGTAGAAGACTGAGGGGGAAAAATGATGATAATAATAACAACAGTACTAATGACAGTAAAAACATAGTGCTTACCCCATAAGAGACCCTGTTCTCAGTACTTTGCATGTGACATTTAATCCTCTCAACCATTTGAACTATTACGATCACACCCATTTTATAGATAAGACAGCTGAGGCACAGAGAAGATACTTGAGTGGCTCAAGGTCACAGGGAGTTCATGAAGGAGGAGGATTTGGATGCTGGTAGCTAGGCTGGGCCCCAGGGTCTGTGTCCTTGACTGTTCTGCTGTACTGCCCAGGCTGGGGGCAGTACAGGACAGGAGGGATGTATGTCGGGATAGAGCAGAGGCAGAGGCAGATGCTGAGGGCAAACCTGTGACTGGCGCCCCCCTGCAGGGAGATCCCAGGGGCTCAGGCAGGGGGGAGTGGAGGGGAAGGGCACACACCTATGGGGGACACTGACATTCCTGGGGGGATGAGGGGTGAGGAGTAGTCGGACAGACATGCCGGGGGATGTCAGCACCACCCTGTGCAGGCTCAGCCTGGCTTCCACGCTGCTCAAAGATGAAAAGACATGTGACCTCCGACCCCGAGCTGCTTCCAGCCCAGCGGGAGAGCCAGACGTGATGTCGCATTTCTGCAGCTGCTTCAGTGCCAATTGCTGGGTCCTGAGACCCTGCTACTCTCCGCCCTCCTCTGGGGGCTCAGACACCGCCCCTCCCCCCCGCCCGCTAATGAAGGGGGGATGCGGGGGTGGGGGAGACGGCCTGGCATGCCCTCCGTCCTCCCTCCTTCCCGTCCTAACTCACAACTGCCCTTTAAAACTCAGCCCATACGGGCTTCCCTGGTGGCGCAGTGGTTGAGAGTCCGCCTGCCGATGCAGGGGACACGGGGTCGTGCCCCGGTCCGGGAAGATCCCATGTGCTGCGGAGCGGCTGGGCCCGTGGGCCATGGCCGCTGAGCCTGCGCATCCGGAGCCTGTGCTCCGCAACGGGAGAGGCCACAACAGTGAGAAGCCCGCGTACCGCAAAAAAACCCAAAAAACAAAACTCAGCCCATAGCCCACCTGCCACAGGAAGCCTCCGATGCCCAGGTTAGGGGATGCCCCTCCACGGGGCTCCCTGGGGGCAGCCTGGCCTTGCTCAGGACACAGCACCGCCTCTTGGGTCAGTCTTATGCCTTGTGACTGACCGTGAGGCCCTGTGGGAAGGCACCCTGGGAAGCCACGGCCTCGTCCCCGGATCCTGCACAGCCCGGAACATGGAATGCAGACATGCTCATTCCTCCCTCAAGGACACACTCGGTGGCTGTCATGAGATCACGATTTCGCAGCGTGGAGTGGCGGGCAAGATCCCACATTCTGCAGACCTGATTCAAATCCAGCCTCTCCCACCCGCTGCCCAGATGTCTTGGGCAAGGGTCTTCATCTCCTTCAGCCTCGCTGTGGCCCCTCCTGGGTCAAAGTGAGACCATCTGAATCACATGCTCAGCACATACATTATTATCGTGAACACCTGTCACGTTTCCCCCAGTTGTGGGAGTCAGGGCAGGGGGCAGCTGCTGCCTCCCCATCTTCTCTGCGCGTCCCACAGGAAGTCCTTGGGGACCCCTGGTTGGGCACTTCTGGATTCTTCTCCCGGCCTGCAGAGTGGGATGATGCCCACTCCTTTGAGCCCAGAGTCCTCAGTGCAAATTTCCAAGTGGCTTTTATTTAATAAAAAGCAAAAGATGACTTTTATGCAATAAAATACAACCTCAAGCCCATCAAGCAGCAATGATGAATTTATATGGAGAAGGGTTGGACTTATTTATAATGAAGTGTCGATTGCCAGTGTCGCCAGGCTGAAACATCTGGTTTAGAGCCCATTTGTCAGATGGGGAAAACATGGGTGGTGGAAAGTGCATGGGCTCTGGGTTGTCAGCGCCCTGGGTTCGAATTCCAGCTCAGAATTCAGCTGTTTACCCTTGGGTTGCAACGTAATCGCTAATATGTATCGAGTGTGCCAGCACTGAGCCAAATGCTCCAAATTCCTAATTGCCTGTAATTCTTACATCCTTTCTGTGAAGTAATGAGTATTCCCATCTTACTGATGAGGAAACCGAGGCTCAGAGAGGAGAAATCATGTGTCCAAAACCACAGAGCTGGCAGGTGGCCAAGGTTGGGTGTGAACGCTGCATGAGACCACCTCCTCCAAGACCTCCCAAGCTTACGAACTCTCCAATCTTTGTTCCTTCTTCCATAAATTGGGAAAATACCCATCAAGCTTGTTATGGGGATTGTATGAGGGACCAGTTCAGCTGTCTGGCATACAGTAGATGCTCAGGGAATGTATTTGTGTCTGTCTCATTGGACCGTTGTGACACCAGGGCCCAATTCTTGGTACCAGAGGGCCCAGAAGATGCCCGGTGAGAAGGATGCTTCTCTCTGAGCCTCAATTTCTGCAGCTCCAAACCAAGAGTAGTATCACCTGCCTGGAAGAACCTCTGGGAGGATTTAATGTGATGAAGAAATTATAGTTCTTGGCACAGAGTAGGTGCTCTGGGCAGTTCCTCTTCTTGTGTCCTGTGTCCCCAACACTGCCTGAAATGGTGTTTTCTGGGTCTTGCCCTGGCAGTGGATTTGTATCGAGCCATCCATACTCTCTCCCCTGCACCCATCCCTGAATCGGGCTCTCGTCTCTGGATGTGCTGGGATGGGGGGGCGGGGGTCGGTGGAGATGGGGGTTGGGATGAAGGGTTCAGCTGTTGACCTGGGTTCAGAGGGTTCCACCACTTCCCGGCTGGGTAACCTCGGGCACATCACTTAGCTTCTCTGAGCCTCTGCTTCCTCCTCTGGAAAGCGGGAGTAACAGCGATACATTCAACCTCTGGCTCTGGGTCCACCCAAACCTCTGGTTCTTAGATCCAGAGCCAACTGTTGTTCCTCATTCTTCCCTGCAGGTGTTTCCAGCTGTGTTTGGGAACTGATTGGCTAAGGACCCACATTGGAGAGCTTTGGGCATCGTAACAGTGAACGGTAAGGGACAGGGGATTTGAACTCATCTCTCCAAAGGGCATCAGTGTGGGACGAGGATGAGGTGGGCGCACTGTCAGTGCAGCTGTCCCTGGGTTTTGGAAATATGGTCGGAACCAAGTTCACAGCACTACGCACCTCTCCTTTATTGCGCTTAGCATTGTTGCGATTTTTCCATGATTTGAAGAGTTTTTTGATGAATAGTTGTCTCCCACTAGACTGTAAGGGAAAGGGGAGGGTCCCAGAGAGGCAGCAAAAACATGGTGGTCCAGAGGGACCATAGACTCTGAAGCTGGGGCCTGACTCCTGGCTCTGCCTCTTCCCAGCTGTATGACGTGGGGCACGTGACTCAAGCTCTCTGTGCCTCAGTTTCCTCATCTGTAAAATGGGGTTTGTAACAACCTTCACTGAGTTATTATGAGGATGAAAAGAGTTTACATACCTCAACCCTTTAGAATAGTACCCGATATATAGGAGGTGCCTGAGAGGTGGTAGTCAAGTAAATAAAATAGCAAAGCCACCCAACTGGCCTTGCTCACAGCCAGGGAGGACACTGTCAGTCGCGCTGGCTTTAAGGTCAACCTCTTAAGGCCAGTTCTCATCAAAGTTCCCCTAATGACCCCTGCCTCCTCTTGCAGAGAATGGAGGATGAGGATAACAACACCTCCCTCACCTATGAGTACGTGTACTCTGATGATTTCGACCCCATCGTGGTTTTGGAGGAGTTATCTCCCCTGGAAGGCAGGGTGGTCAGGATCTTCCTGGTGGTGGTCTACAGCATCATCTGTTTCCTCGGGATCCTGGGCAACGGCTTGGTGATCATCATCGCCACCTGCAAGATGAAGAAGACGGTGAACACCGTCTGGTTCCTCAATCTGGCCGTTGCGGATTTCCTGTTCAACGTCTTCCTCCCAATCCACATCACCTACGCCGCCATGGACTACCACTGGGTGTTCGGCACAGCCATGTGCAAGGTCAGCAACTTCCTGCTCGTCCACAACATGTACACCAGCGTCTTCCTGCTCACTGTCATCAGCTCCGACCGCTGCATCTCCGTGCTCCTCCCCGTCTGGTCCCAGAACCACCGCAGCGTCCGGCTGGCTTACATGGCCTGCATGGTCATCTGGGTCCTGGCTTTCTTCCTGAGTTCCCCATCCCTCGTCTTCCGGGACACAGCCCACGTGCACGGGAAAATATCCTGCTTTAACAACTTCAGCCTGTCTGCCACCAGCTCTTCCTCGTGGCCCACTCATCCCCAAGTGGACGCTGTGGGCTTTGGCCGGCACGTGGCGGTGACCGTCACCCGCTTCCTCTGTGGCTTCCTGACCCCGATGCTCATCATCACCGCCTGCTACGTCACCATCGTCTGCAAGCTGCGGCGCAACCGCCTGGCCAAGACCAAGAAGCCCTTCAAGGTCATCGTGACCATCATTATCACCTTCTTCCTCTGCTGGTGCCCCTACCACACGCTGTACCTTCTGGAGCTCCGTCACAGCGCCATGCCTGGCTCCGTCTTCAGCCTGGGTGTGCCCCTGGCCACTGCCATCGCCATTGCCAACAGCTGCATGAATCCCATCCTGTACGTCTTCGTGGGTCAGGACTTCAAGAAGTTCAAGGGGGCCCTCTTCTCCCGTCTGGTCAACGCTCTGAGTGAGGACACAGGCCACTCCTCCTATCCCAGCCACAGAAGTTTCACCAAGATGTCATCCATGAACGAGAGGGAGACCAGCATGCTCTGAGCCTCGCCTGGAACACCCGCCCCCCACCCCCCGCTGTGGATACTCCCAACCTTGGAGGCTCAAAGCTATGCCTTCTCGAGACCACGGCAAGAGCATCTTGGGCACCCACAGATGCCCGCTGTATTTTGCATGGGGCTGAACTGTGTTTTGAACTGGGAATCTAGGGCTCAGAACTCCCTTCTTCCAGGGGCACGGCGGACAGGGCATGCTACGGTGCTCAGCCTTGGACCAGCATCCCGTGCATCCTGGGAGACCAGCCTTGACTGATGCAAAGCAAAAAAGGGAGAATTCTCAAAAGCACTGCCGTGAACTGGGATGGGCATAAGACAGAGGGATCAGTTACCGACCTGAGTGCTTCCCAGGAATGACAGAAACGCTTTTCAAGGTCCATTCCTGGTGTGAGCAGAGGAGGTCAGAGCAAACCCAGTGTGATGTAGGTCACGCCTCGCTCATATCCCTCTGTCAATAGCTGGCCAGAAATCCTGCCACTCAATCCATTCCTCTGGGTTAGGGTGTGTGGAAATGCACACACCTTCTCCAGGTTCCCTGGGAAGAGAAGGTGACATATGAGCACAGGAACTCCCGGGACCATGCATTTGACTTTCAGATCAGCTGAAAAGACAGGTAACACGTCCTGAGGAGCCATGGGGCTCTTTGTGAGGGCAAGGGAAGCAGGGCTGTGATGAGGACTCAGGGCTTTGGGGGAAGGAATGAAGAAAGAAAAGACCTTTCAAAGGGCGCGTGACATGTATCAACTCACCCTCGAACCTCCCAGGGCGATGGTGCTTTGGGCCGTAGCTATTTTGTGGGTGGGGGTGATGCCAGCCCCTTGCCCCAAGCCCTGTTCTCACTTTGCATTTGTTACCCTGGGCTGGTTTGAGGTGGGCAGCTTCACCAGCAGCCTCCACCCCATCACAGGGATTCCTCCCTCTTCCCTGATCCACTGGTTCTGGCTGGAGATGCTCAGAAGAAAACACTCCAGGGCAGGAGGCAGATGGGAGGATGGTGCGGGACATCTACTCCTTCCCAACTTCCTCAAAGCCTGGCTGGAGGCTAGTCCAAAATCAGCTGCAGGAAGCAACCTCGGAGCACCCCACGGGCTGAAGCTGAGTCCGAGAGCTCAGTCCCCGAGCTTGAAGCAGAATCTGGAGCCTGGCTCACTGGACTGTGCTCCTGAGACGCAGGGCCGAGGGGGGCCCACAGGCCTAGGGCCCCTCGTATGTGCAGTCACATTGTCTTTTCTGGGGCCCACACCTCCCTGTGCTGCAGTGTCATTGTCCCATTTACAAACGACACAGCTGAGGCTCAGAGAAGGGAAGTTACACACCCAACGTCACACAGCTAGCCAGGGGCACAGTTACCCGTCTGAACCCAGCTCCGTCTGATCCCAGAAACTCTGTTCTTTTATGGAGAATGTATCTACTGAGAATATTCTAGACTATCCCGGTGACCTCCATTTATTTAGCACTTCTCTGTTAAGCACTTTACATGTGTATCTCATTTATCCCTCACAGCAGCCCTGAGTTAAGTACAATTATCACTTCCCTTTTGTGGATGAGGCATCTGGGGCTCAGAGTTTAAGTAACTTGCCCAAGGACACCCAGCAGGTCTCTGTTAGAGTCTGGCTAGGTTTGAACCTAGGTCTGTCTGGCTCAAATAAGTCGGCAGAGGCTTGGGGTTTTGACCGTAAATATATTTGCATCCCTCAGCAGATTAACGTAAACATCTTAAGGGCTTTACAGGCAGCTTTGCAAATAGCTTTCAAAAACGATCCAACGTGGCAAAGAAAATGTACTTGGCTCCCAGCTCCCTTGGCATCCAGTCACAGCCACCCACCCTGGCTCCCACCTCCCGTGTCCCCACCAGGTCTCCGGGGGAGGGCAGTGGGGAGAGAGGCCTGACGGGAGGGCCCTTTGGCCTCCAAGTGTCCATATTCTGCTCCCTTCCAAGTTTCTTTGTTGCGAAGCCAGTTCAACAAGATACAGTGAACAGATGTAACGTCAACACAGCACCAGCGGCAAGTTCCCGAGGCCATGGGCTGTTTGGAATCACACCTCATTAAGAGACAAACTGTTCCTTCCCTTGCTGGGTCAGTGTGTTTGTGAGGCAGCTCTGAATTGACCCCACTGGGGCCTCCGACTGTTTTGAGCAATCTGAACTTAGCTTGAGCTAAGGGAGCTTTAACTATTGCCCAGCGCCCCCTGTCACCCCCCTTCCCAACTTCACAGGGGAAGCATCCAGGGCACAAGACGGAGTGGGACGTGTTCCAGGCCCCAGAGACAGTCACCAGCCACTCGGGGAGGACCGTGCTGTTTCTTGGGGCTCAGTTTCTCTTTCCTTCCAGGCTGCGTGCAGGTCAGGCCAGGCTGGGGAAGCCAGGAAATCATTTTGCCATTGGAAAAGCTGATGAACAGGAGCAAAATGAAAACCAGCTGTTTTCCTCCTTGGAGCCAGGGCTCGCTCTTTCTGGCTGCCCCACCAAGTCTTCCTGTTCTGATTGTAGTTCCCCATCAAATGCTTAAGTGCAACCTTAACCACCCTTTTCAACCTTGTCCCTACAGCTTCTGACGACCCCACAGGTCACACATACAAAGGCCCTGCAGTTCACAAAGCACATTCACCTGAATTACTCCACAGGCAGCCAGCACGCTTTGTGCCCGAGAGCCCTCCCTCCAGGGCCAGGACCTGCCAGTGGAGCCTCAGTGCTGCTTCCTGGGTTTGGTGGGTGGGTGGAGGGGGCACGGGGCTGTGGGCAGAGGGACAAGCAGAGAAGATGCTGTTTGAGGGTGGGGGAGAGGGAGGGAGGAGGGAAGCACAAAGGAAACAGAGAAGGACAATGAAGAAAAGAGATCTGGCATTTATCAAGCATCTACCATGGGTCAGGCACAAAATCTCATCAAACCCTCAGAAACGGTCCTGTGAGAAGAGAACCATCAGACCCGCCTTGGGGGGGCGTGCAGAAAGGGAGGGTCAGATTGTGGACCTCACTTGTTCAGGGTCACACAGTAGTAAACGGAACTGGGTCCTGCTGCCTGAATTCCCAGCTTCTTCAGCCCTTGGGAGGATGGAGAGGGAGGGGGAGGAGGAGGGGAAGGGAGAGAAAAAGTAGGAGCAAGACCAGAGGGAGGGGCTCAGAAGGGGGGACTGACCCAGGCGCTGGCTGAGGGAGGAGTTTGCCTTAAGCCCTTAAGCTTGGAGAGCTTAGCGGCCAGGATGGGTGGGAGAAGAGAGCATCCAATCATGAGAGCCACAGGGCCATTCAAGCTCAAACCACCCAGGTCTTTCCCATTTTACAGATGAGGGAACTGAGGTCGTAAGAGCTGCCCTTGGAGAAATCTGCAAAATTAGGTGGTGCTGGCTTGGATGGAGTGGTCATTGATTCCCCAACTCCTGCCTCTGGCCTCCGTCTCCCGTTCCTTCCTGACATGCTGTGATGCTCTGGCTTTGGAAAATTGCTACTGGGCCTGGTATCCAAGACCAGGGGAACCAGGAAGCTGCTCGTCAGACCTTGAGGTAGGGGGCTTGCTTGCTTCCCCTCTTTGAGGACAACATTTCTCTTAAATAAAGAAACTGAAGCAAGTGTGGGGCTCCATGCTGGGGGGTCCTGACCCTTGCCTTCCCCGCCCAACTCGTGGAATACCACCTGAGGCTCAGAGAGGTGAAATGTCCTGTCCAAAGTCACACAGCTGTGTTGTGAGACAGCAGGAGAAGCCCTGAAATTCCCGACCTCCCATTCCCCAAATTTTGAACTTCAAGAAATCCACATCTTGAAAAATATTCCCTCCACTCATGTAATTTTCCTAGAAACCAAGGATATGAGACAGGTAGTGACTTACCCAAGACAAAATAGCAAGCCATGGCAGAGAAGGGACTGAACCCCAGGACTCCTTACTCCTAAGTCCATGCATCGGGCCACCCAAGGACAAATGCTGCCATTTACACATTCATCTAGCCATCCTTTCACACACCCATCCATTTCCATAACCATCTGTTTATAAATCCACCCATTCATCCACTCCACAAGCATCTATTTAATACGCCCTCTTTCAGGCCCTGCAGGCACTGGGAATGCGGGGGGGGGGGGGGG